TCTAACTTGACCCTCACTTAAGGCTTTCTCTAATTTTAACCCCTTGTGCTTAATGAACTGCCTGAACTATGATGCACAAGAGCATCTGTTAGCTGGAAACCTCTGCTACATGTTGCCCTCATGCAAGTTAAGGATGCAATTACAGCAATCACTGAATTGTTTTACTTCAGTGAGACCCACAGTATCATTCTCATAAACAGGTGTTTTTGTGATTTATATATTTTTTTTATTAAAATGACATTGTTTAGGTCAGCTTGCTAAATATCTGACCCGCTTCAAAATTAATAGCAGTCGGTTCCTAATTGGTTCTTCTATTTTGTTTTTTAAAAGGTGGTCAGCAACCTTTTATCTAAATTGGGATTCCTCCCCACTCCAATCACCTGGCATCTTCACCTAGCCTTATCCCTCCAAAGCAAAGCCTTCCAGTATATTCCTAAAGAGAATACATATAGATAGTAGGTCTTACACTATGGATTTATCATTCTTAAATATTGCTTTTCACTACTTTGAGGAACATTTCTGGCCTACATGGCAATGTCCTGGCTCTTGAGCAATGCTTTCTGTGCCCACAGCTTCTATGTATGCTAAGGATAAAGACAAATCTTCTATTTCAGTGCTAGCAGTAGGAGCTGCTGGATAACACAGCTTAGTTTCTGGGGACTGAAATGCTTTAGTCTAACCCAAGTTATTGGGCTATAGGGTAAGTAGGAAGTGTAATGGCTTGTGATATACAGGTCAGACTAGATGACCCAGTGGTCCCTTCTGGCCTTAAACACTATGAAGCCGTAATTCTCCAGGAGTTCTGAGTATTACATCCATAACACTGCCAATCCTGGGAGTAAAGGATCAGATCCTCACTTGGTAAATAACTGTAATTCCTCTACACCACTGAATCAATCCCTGAAAATGAGGGCTCCAAAGAATAACAAACAGGGCCCTGGTTGAAACCTACTAATAAACTAATGCACACTTTCTCTCTCTACGAGCACAAAGCACTTTCCTCCACAGCAGTTGTCTGCTCCCTTCCTTTGAGCAAATGGTCTACTGAAGTATACAAAATCCTTCTGTCTCAAATGCTCCCAAGGTTGAAGCAGGCAAGCTCAGCAGGGAAGCGAGAGAGTGCTATGTGCAGGCAGCCGTGATTCAGAGCACAATGGGTATGTTACTTTTCTGTACAGGTCTCTCAGCTTGCTCTCTCTTCATGTTAGGGACCAAAAAAAGAATAGGGATTTTTTTGCTCCCCTTTCTTTTAATGGCCAGGCCTTGCAATAGTAAAGGGATGGAAACCAAGTCCACTGAATAATGATTTAATGATGTGAACTCTGTTGTGTTCTTTTTGAGTGGATGCCTGCTTTAGTGAGAGAACTGCTGAGATTCTTTAATTCAGTATTGAGGAATAATGTGAGGATGCTGAAGGATACAGAAAACCCTGGATAAGGGAGGTTGGCAATAATGGTATTATTAGATTGAAGCAAAATGTAAGAGCAAGATGGATGCTGCAAGATTATTAAATCTAGAAAGTGAAACATTTTAAAGCTAAACTCCAGAACTAATAATGAGCAATTGAATTCAAGTAGTTTTTACAAATGAATGGGAATGTCTAATTATTAATCTCTTCAGTGCCAGTGCCCACTGGGATTTTGGTACATCAAAGGTGTATTTTGTTTCGGAGGGGGGGAGGGGGATGCAACACTGAAGAGGTTAATACAATATACTGGATTAAATCTTAGCTGTGAATGATTGCATGTTTAAAAAATGCACAAAAAAACCAGCAGAAACTGACAAATCTCTTTCACTCTAATTTATCTGTCTGACAAATGGACGGGATGTTGGAAATTTATCATTTTGGTTGATTAACATCCAGGAAGTTAGATCAGAACAACCACATTCATTTCACTCACGTCTGAGGTCACATCTGAATCCCGGTCTCCAGAGGTAATATACTAATGTCCTAAGGCACTGCACCATCTGGTCCCCCTTTTGATCTGCAATATTTGAATGCTTGATTTACTATCCCTGTGTATCCATAAATTGTGTAAACTCAGAGGCATGGCAGTGGTAGTTGGGTATCATGAGCAGATGATTTAGTCATCAATATCTATTGGGTTTCCTTATTGCTGCCATTAGACTTTTCAGTTTTACTTATAAATCATGTAAGTGAATCATTCAGTGTACCAGAAACTGCAAGTTAGTGTTAGAACTTGCCCACTGTGAGATTAGCTGAAATTAATCTGCCCCTTCAGAATGTGGAAGAGCCAAGTGGATTGCTTATTCACCAGAGATGGTTGATAAATCAGAAATAAATTGCATGTGTATATATAGCCGGAGGTGGTAAGGAAATAAATCACTTTTCTCTTTTCTTTCTGAACAGGATCAAAGCACTTGGAATAAATGTGAGTACAAGTTTTACACTAATTGAATCTACCTTTGAAAGCCATGGCCGCTGCCTCTCACCTGAACTCGGATGCACTTCGGGAAGTTCTGGAGTGCCCCATTTGCATGGAGTCCTTTACTGAGGACCAGCTGAGGCCCAAACTCTTACACTGTGGGCACACCATCTGCAAGCAGTGCTTGGAGAAACTCCTGGCAAACAGCATCAATGGGATACGCTGCCCCTTCTGCAGCAAGATCACTCGGATCACAAACTTGGCTCAACTGACCGATAATCTCACGGTGCTGAAGATCATAGATACCACAGGACTGAGTGAAGCTGTGGGCCTTTTCATGTGCAAAGTTTGCGGGAGAAGGTTACCCAGGCACTTCTGCAAGAGCTGTAATTTGGTTTTGTGTGACCCGTGCAAGGAAATGGAACATCAGCAGCAAGGACATGGTGTTGTTGCCATCAAAGAGGCTGCTGATGAACGGAGGAGGGAATTTGGGGTAAAGCTTGGCAGACTTCGGGAGCTCATGGGGGATCTGCAGAAAAGAAAAGCATCTCTGGAAGGGGTCTCCAAAGATGTGCAATCCAGATACAAAGCAGTTCTTCAGGATTACAGCAAGGAAGAGCGCAAGATCCAGGAAGAACTGGCAAGGTCACGGAAGTTCTTCACAAACTCTTTGTCTGAAGTGGAGAAAGTAAATAACCAGGTAATGGAGGAACAGGCTTATCTGCTGAACATAGCAGAGGTGCAGATCGTATCCCGATGTGACTATTTCCTTGCCAAGATTAAGCAGGGAGATATAGCTCTCTTGGAGGAGGCAGCAGATGAGGAAGAGCCAGAACTGACGAACAACCTACCAAGAGAGCTGACTCTGCAAGAGGTGGAGCTCCTCAAGGTGGGCCACGTGGGGCCACTGCAGATTGGGCAGGTGGCGAAGAAACCTCGGACAGTCAACATGGAGGAATCTCTGATGGAGACTGCTGCATCCTCATCGGCTACATTTAGGGAGACTGATGTGGTGCAAGAAGAGACTGGTTTGACACCAAATTCCTCACCTGCCAAACCAAGGATGCCTGAAACAGCCACTAGCATCCAGCAATGTCACTTCCTCAAGAAGATGGGCTCCAAAGGCAGCATGCCAGGGATGTTCAATCTTCCTGTCAGCGTACATGTCACCGTACAGGGAGAGGTGCTTGTGGCAGATCGTGGCAATTTCCGAATCCAGGTATTTACCCGCAAGGGTTTTCTGAAGGAGATCCGGCGGAGCCCTAGTGGCATTGATAGCTTTGTGCTGAGTTTCCTTGGAGCAGATCTACCCAATTTGACTCCCCTATCTGTCACCATGAACTGCCATGGCCTGATAGGAGTGACTGACAGCTATGATAACTCACTAAAGGTGTATACCATGGATGGACACTGCGTTGCATGTCACAGGAGCCAGCTTAGCAAGCCCTGGGGCATCACAGCTCTGCCTTCAGGGCAGTTCGTAGTGACCGATGTGGAAGGAGGAAAGCTCTGGTGTTTCACAGTGGACCGTGGTGTTGGGGTAGTTAAGTACAGTTGCTTATGTAGTGCTGTGCGCCCAAAGTTTGTCACTTGTGATTCTGAAGGGACTGTATACTTCACTCAGGGGCTGGGACTCAACCTGGAGAACCGCCAGCATGAGCACCACCTCGAGGGGGGCTTTTCAATTGGCTCTGTAGGTCCAGATGGGAACTTAGGCCGCCAGATCAGCCACTTCTTCTCAGAGAATGAGGATTTCAGGTGCATCGCTGGGATGTGCGTGGATTCTAGGGGAGACCTGATTGTTGCAGACAGCAGCCGTAAAGAAATCCTGCATTTTCCTAAAGGAGGTGGCTACAATATCTTAATCAGGGAAGGCCTCACCTGCCCTGTTGGCATAGCCATTACACCTAAAGGGCAGCTGCTAGTGCTGGACTGTTGGGATCATTGCATTAAGATCTACAGTTACCATTTGAGGAGGTATTCCACACCTTAAGGGTGTTTCACTGGATAAAGCTGCTCTTCTCATAGGTTCTCCCCGCCGTATCATAATTTGACAGAAGTTAGTGCTGCACTTTCAGGTAGATTATGTCCTAATCCGAGCTGTGTCACTATTTTGTGTTTAGAAACAAAATAGCCTTTTTATTTGTATAATTTTAAAAACCAACCACCACCCCACCACCTCCATGGAGCAAAGGATACTTATGGAGTACTGGTTGTGGGTTAAGTGACTGATCTCTCCCTACATCTTACTGCCTTGTGCCGTAGCTCATACTCCCAGCTTCAACCACTGCATGCTGCTTTGTGCCATAAATAGTAACTGACTCTTCTATATGACCTTTCTTTAGAAGACCCGTGAGGCGGTCTTCTTCCCACCACAGTTCTCACAAGGATCTCAGTAGCAATTCTTCACAGACAACCACAGAAAGCTATTTCTGATTGCAGCGCTGTAGCTGCATACGACAACGGAGCCTCCCTAAACTGCACAAAGGTGCAGCTTGCATAAAACTAAAGGGCAAGGCTGTGGTCCTCCCTGTTTCTAGTAATTAGGAGATTATCTTCATGGTGCCACTGGTGAACCCCACTTGGTCCACCAGTCTCTTCAATGTGAAGTGGGTACAGTGCAATCATGGAAGACCGATCGAGCCAGAGAACTGCCCTCTGATGGCAAAGAGAATTTCATTACAGTTTGATTAGCATGAGAAAAGTAGAGTGGGAGGGGGGAATTGACAGGAGAGCCTATTTAACAGAATTAATTTCAGTCTGTCAGTATTCACAGTTGTTTTACTATTAAATCTGGCTTGGAACCTGTCTTTGAAGGGTATGTTTGGTATTTAAAGCTTTGCCAGGGGAGAGAGAAATTGAAGTAAACAAGATCAAATGTGACAAATGGTATGTTCATCTGCACACTTCAATATTCTGCATTCCAGACCATTGCATTTACTGATAGGTTTCCACTAGTCTGCACTTTGTATGTGAAAGCTACTTGTTCATGAGATAGGGAAAAAAGGGGAGGGGGGGAGGAGGGAATCTTATTTTATTACTTGGAAGCTCTTGCTCTGGTGGTTTGCATCTTTCTCCATGCACAGCAAAAAGCTACATTCCTAGAGACATTGTCTGGCCCTTTTTTATGGCTCCAGCGGACACCAGGATGCATGTTCATCTCAGCTTTGGGGCAGATGGAGCACAAAACTGCAGCTGTGTGAGTTAACACCCCCACAGTGTGCCTATCCTGGCTGATAAACACATATCTCAGTGTGGTGTTGCTCCTCTAAAATGGTTTATTGAAGAAAAGAAACATTTAAATAGGACACAGTTGTAGACTGTTAATCTGCCAAAGATCATGGTTACACTGCAGTGTAATTACTATTTGTTACCATCAACAATGTAGTTGCAAATTTGGGGGCACAATAGACCACGTAAAAAACTGGCTCTATAGTTGCTGTCGTGTCCAGCATTTTCGAACTGTATTTGCTGTAGTATCAAGTCTGTGCTACAATGTGTCTGTAACAGGTGAGTTTTTAAATTCCCACAAGCTGTCTGTCCCTTCTTAGCTAAGCAGCAGTAAAAAAAACCCACTTCCTGAGAGCAGCTGCTGCTGTTTGTGCCCCTCTAGCCAGCTGTGTGACTGTAACAGTGCTTCCAGTTCAAGCGGTGAAAGCAGAACCATCTTGATTTGTGGATTCCCTGATATTGCCAAAGAACTGAGCAGGGCCAGACCATTAGCCCTAACTACTCCAGACCCATCTTGGCAGTTGTTTGTACAGTGCCTGGCACAGGGAGTACAATGCTGATCAGGGCAATTGGGTATTACTGTATTAGAAAGTGATGACCTAGGAGAATTCTGGAGAGAAGGGAGCAGGTACAGAGGGAAGCAGTGGATCTGTAGAGGGGAAGACACTGTGGCTTCTGAAGGGAATTTAAAAATTCAGCGCTTACCATATGAGCTGTGTTGTGTTGATTTGCTGTAGATACAAACATGAGTTTACACACACAGCTGTCTTCTGGCAAAGTTTGCCTATGGTGTGTAGCAGCAATCTGGAAAGTAACTTGCACTCTGGTGTGCATGTTGTTTGGATAGATCTACTTGTATTTGGACTTCGTTTGGATAATTACTGGGTTGCCACCCAAGCTGTTTTATAAACATTACATTGATGGCAGTTCCTGTTGTACTGATCGTTCATGTTTAAAAATCTCACCTGTTCCTAAGAGCTACTTTCTGCAGGCAGCTTTCATAGAACTGAATAAATGAAGCAATATTACCTTTCCTAATGAGCATCTACATCAAACTCGGGAGAGAATATTTCCTAGAGGCCAAATGGATACATTAAGTGGACTTAAAACCAGGCCCATTCTGCTGACTGAGCAGTTGGTTGCCTAGGTTTTTCCTGGTAGCCACAGTTTAAATTAAGTTCATCATCTCTTCCATCCTGTATTACAGATTCCAAGAAAAGGAGACGCTATTCTGTGATGCACTTGTAGAGTAAGGTAGAGAGGGGATTGGGGCCCGTGTGTGTGTTTAGCCTGTAGCTGCTATACTGTTCTCGTGGTTTTTTTTCAGGCAGACAGGGGGAAGAGAAGAGGAATGGCTGTCCCCAGCTAGAGTACATGCTTCAGCTGGCAAAGCGGAATTGGCTGTAAATTAGTTTCTCAGTTCTGCATCTTTTGCAGTGGTGTTTTGCTTTTTGCCACCGTTGTGATCAGCTCCAAAGGAGATGAAATGGAGTAATTAAAGATTATGATGAAATAGTTTAGCTTCTGCTTTTCACCTGGAGATGGAACATGTCTGATAATGAGTATGTTTGATTTTTAAAGGTTGTGTAATAAAGAGGAAATTGATCCAATTAAAAGTGCATTACAAATGGCTCATCTCGTTATTTAAAACATTTCTCCTTGTGTTCTCTTTGGTGGCAGACTGGTTTCCAAGGCCATCCAGAATTAGATTTGCTAACATATTAACTGCAAGATACCTCTTCTCATGCTGTCAGGATGTGGAGAATAAATCCACGCTCTGGCAGGCCTACAATAAGTATCTCTCACTTCTTTCCCCACTTTACAAACATAAATACTAGGATTTCTCAGACATGCTCAGATCAATAGGCCCTCAAGGCCCCTATCTTCATGATGTGTGTCGTACCTGATGCTTTAAAGGCAAACAACCCCCACACCTCCGTAGTGCAACAAATAAAAATAGTTGAAAGTGCGTCAAGTGGTTAGAGCCAGGAATCCTGGATTATAATCCTAGATTTGCCACTGATTCATTTAGCCACTGCCTGCTTCAATTTATTCATCTGCAAAATTGGGCTAGTATTGCTTATATTACTCCGGAGTGGCGTGAGGTTCAGCTAGTTGTTATGGGTTGAATTGGGATAATCTGATAGGTGCTATGAGTATTCTTTTTAAGAAAATCTCATTTGGGGGAAGCCACAAGAGAGCTAAGCAATTGCCATTTCAGTTTAGAGGACAATATCTCATCAGTGGACACACATCCTCTGATTTCCTTGTTACCAGCTCAGTTTATGTTACCCAGACTCTTTTCCTATGATGTGAGACCGTGCTGTAAGCAGTTGCTGGTTTATAAAATATAAAGAACTTTGAAGAACGATAGTCATATTGACCCTGCTAGACTTAGCACTGATCAACTGTTTCATGAAAAGCGGTGATTTCTCACGGCAGTTATAATTTCACTGTAAGCATTCGTTCTGGATTAAAAATTGGCATGTGACGTTTGAGGCTGGGCGGTTATTTTTAAAAATAAACTTTTATTTTGTAACCAAAGAGGGCAGGGTTATAAAAGTTAAAAATAAACATCGGCACTTTTAGGTTCTCTGCATTGTATAGTTTAAGTGATTTTTCTGGGTCATTAGCCAATGTGAGGCTTTAAAGTTATTTCATTTTGCACAACTAATTACTGTACTTGCCTGGCACATTTGGATTACAATGAGCAGGGCATAAGGTCATTTAGCAGACTGAGTCACAGCATATGCAGTTTAGTCTAAACAAAATTTCACAGCAACTGGCTAGATTTTTTAAGACTGAAGAATATGTTAAATCAGTGCCTTTAAAACATGTATCAGGACAGAAACTGCATGCTGTAAAGAGTTATACATTTAATATAGTGCTTGTTGGTAGAAATAGATTTCAAAGTGCTATAAAATTCTATAGGCTTAGATTGTGACCAGACAATAAAAGCAGATATAGGGGAAAGTATTATATCCCAATTGCCTAAATACTAAAATGGGTGAACTAGAGGGCATGACATTACATTAGGATATCGATATAATCAGCATATCAGAAACTTGGTGGAATGAGGATAATCAATGGGACAATAGGAATGACAGAGTAGGTTGTGCTGGTGAGGGAGTGGCACTCTAGGTACAAGAAAGCAGAGAGTCAAATAAAGTAAAAATCTTAAATGAATCCAATTGTACCATAGAATCTCTATGGATAGAAATTCCATGCTTGACCAATAAGAGTATAGCAGTAGGAATATGCTACCGACCACCTGATCAGGATGGTGACTGCAGTTGTGAAGTGTTCCGGGAGATTAGAGAGGCTATACAGGTAGAAAACACAATAATAATGCAACAAAGAGTCCTGTGGCACCTTATAGACTAACAGATGTATTGGAGCATAAGCTTTCGTGAGTGAATACCCACTTCATCAGACGCATGTAATGGAAATTTCCAGAGGCAGGTATAAATATGCAGGCAAGAATCAGTCTAGAGATAACGAGGTTAGTTCAATCAGGGAGGATGAGGCTCTCTTTTAGCAGTTGAGGTGTGAACACCAAGGGAGGAGAAACTGCTTTTGTAGTTGGCTAACCATTCACAGTCGTCTAATCCTGAGCTGATGGTGTCAAATTTGCAAATGAACTGAAGCTCAGCAGTTTCTCTTTAAAGTCTGGTCCTGAAGTTTTTTTGCTGCAGGATGGCTACCTTTAAATCTGCTATTGTGTGTCCAGGGAGGTTGAAGTGTTCTCCTACAGGTTTTTGTATATTGCCATTCCTAATATCTGACTTGTGTCCATTTATCCTTTTACCTAGGGACTGTCCAGTTTGGCCGATGTACATAGCAGAGGGGCATTGCTGGCACATGATGGCGTATATAAGTACCCTCTGATACTTGACACAATAATAATGGGGGATTTCAACTATCCTCATATTGACTAGCTATATGTCATCTCAGGAAAGAATGCAGGGATAAAGTTTCTAGACACCATAAAAGATGGCTTCTTGGAGCAGCTTGTCCTGGAACCCACAAGGGGAGAGGCAATTCTTGATTTAATCCTCAATGGAGTCAAGAGGTGAATATAGCTGGACTGTGACCATAATATAATTACATTTAACATCCTTGTACAGGGAAAAATGCCAAAGAAACACACCACAGTCAGGGTGACTGGGCAACAAAATGGCAGATGAAATTCAACGTTGATCAATGCGAAGTAATGCACATTGGAAAACATCCCAACTATAAGTACAAAATGATGTGGTCTAAATTAGCTGTTACCATTCAAGAAAAAGATCTTGGAGTCATTGTGGAGAGTTCTCTAAAAACATCTGCCCAATCTGCAGCAGCAGTCAAAAAAGCAAACAGAATGTTAGGAACCATTAGGAAAGGGATAGATAAGACAGAAAATATCATAATGCTGCTATATAAATCCATGGTACGCCCACAGCTTGAATACTGCATGCAGATCTGATCACCCCTTCTCAAAAAAGATATATCAGAATTGGAAAAGGTATGGAACGGCTTCCATATGAGGAGAGATTAAAAAGACTGGGATTTTTCAGCATGGAAAAGAGATGAGTAAGAGGGAATATTATAGAGATCTATAAAATCATGACCAGTGTGGAGAAAGTGAATAAGGAAGTGTTATTTAGCCCTTCACATAACACAAGAACCAGACGTCACCCAATGAAATGAATAGGCAGCAGGTTTAAAACAAACAAAAGGAAGCATTTCACACAGTGCATAGTCAACCTGTGCAACTTGTTGCCAGGGGATGT